ATCATCATCCTCATCTCCATCGTCGTCATCGTCGTCGTCTTCATCTTCCTCCCCACCTTCAATTCTTCCATTACCACTTACTTCAGGGTCATCCTCTTGATCACCATCATCCCCTTCTTCAGCTGAGAAATCCTCGTCGTCATCATCGTCGTCGTCATCATCTTGGTCATTCGCATCATCATCATCTTCTTCTTCTCCATCATCATCCTCATCACCTCCAGCCTTTCCATTACCACTTGCTACAGGGTCATCCTCTAGATCACCATCATCCCCTTCTTCGGCTGAGAAATCTTCTACATCTTCCCCGTCGTCTTTGTCATCTGCATCATCATCATCAACTTCTTCTCCATCTTTGTCATCCTCTGTTTCACTGCCATCCATGTTTTCCTGATCAGGAGTTTTCTTTGTGCGAAGTTCGTCGAAAGGAAACCTGTGAGAGGAGTTAAAAATCAGTAATCTCAGAAACCAACTAAGAAAAGAAAAGTATTTCATAATAAATAACATGAAACTTCATTACCTTCCCTCAATTGCAGCCAATCCTGGCGGAGCATTGACATCATTTATTAACAGAGCTCCTGCCTGAAGAAAACTTAATAATGTTGGAAAGTGAATTGAAGTTTTAAGACTCGTTCAGTGCATTCAATTAAAGTAACACACTTACTTCAACACAATTAAGGAATTGCACACCAGGTGCTACTATTATAGATTTACAAAATCAGTTGAGGCAGGCATCCAATCTAAAAAGAAATTTCCAAATATGGCTCGTCGGAGAGTACAATCAGAATATTGTAACATACGAAATTAAGGAAAGATACATGGGAAGTGTGTGGAATTCGCAGATATTAAGGGTCGATTGAAGATATTGAGGGTTCTAAATTAACTGCATCTTACTTCCATTGATTGCAAGAACAAAAAAGGAAATTGTCCAGCCATAAGCAATCGTAAAGCATAAGCTGTGATGATAAGACAATAAATTCTAACTTAAGAGGAAAATGAACTTGCAACAAAAACCACTAAGCGCTAAGGATAGCTGACAATTGATAAACAACAACCACAATAGATGGAAAAACTTAAAAATAAGGATGCAGTACGGCCAAAGTCTAAAAGAACCAGAAGCAAAATTGGCCATTCCACACAGCAACAAAGGCGAATTCTGTACTCACCCATCAACATGGACCAAATAAATATAACTTCCAAAAAACAACAAATTCTCATTTCTAACGTATCTTCCCCAAAGAAGCGGGAAAGGACCAACTCAAACAAAGGCGGCATGGTACACAAAAGCGAATAGATTTTCACATGGAACATCGAGTATGACCTACATACGGAATGGGAAAGAAGTTGAAAAAGCGTGCAAAGAAGAAATTGCCTCCCATACAAATTAACCACTAGAACAAACACTTCTCTTCACACGCAGGTCAATGATTCAACATTTTCAGCTAAAATTTCCATCTCTGTAGCAATTTTAAGCAACTAATGGTTAACCAGGTTGCTTGTGAAAGAAACACAACCCAAAAGAAGAAAACAAACGAGTGAGCATAAGCAACAACTTCTAACAACAAAGGCACAAGCTTGAGAGCTACAAGCACCACAGAGGCAAGTGGCACAAGAAAAAAGTCAACAAAAATGCTGAGAGCCACTAAATCAAAGCTTCAACAAGTAAAAAAGTCAGAACTAAACACCAGTAGAATCCGTGGGAGACTAATAATGTCAGAGAAAGGGCATACCGTGGCCAGAAGCCAAACAAGAGAGTTTGCGGCGGTGAAGACAGTGTCCACCATCACAGCTTCCAAAACAGAGCGCAGCCGCATAGTTGTCGCGCCCTCCAAATCCATCGCCGCGAAAAACAAGCTCAAATTGGACAGAATCAGAGAAAAATAAGGAAAAACAGAGAGAGAAGAAGAAGAGAGAGAGCGGGAGGTGGCAGAAGAAGAAGAAGCGAATGGGTTTTGTGGAAATTGGGGGAAAAAGTTGGGTTTAGTGGTCCGGTTAGAATAAACCCTAGGGTTTGGTCCGATTAGGGCTTTGTTTTCGACTGCATCTGAAAGAGAAAAATAAAATAATAATAATTGAAACAGAGGGATGGTCCTATCGGAATTGTTTGGCTGATTTTTTAGGGTTTCTTTTCAGATTCAAAATATCGGAGTCGGATCTCGTGTTTGACTTGGATCTGGATATGGCTTCAGACCCGACCCGGTGGAGCACAGCCATTTCTTTTTTCTTTTCTTTTTTTTCCCTTTTGGTTAAATTAAAAAAGAATATCCCTGAACTTTGTCAGTATTATTGTTTCGAAATTATCTTACCTTTTATAAAGGTTTAAAAAATACATTTTGACCAAATATTTTGAATTAAGTTTGAAAAGAGATCAAAGGTAAAAAAATATATCACTTTGAAGAGGGGATAGAACAAAATTGGATGGACAATGGATAAGAAAATTCTACGAGGGCAAAGTTGGGATTTTAATTGTTATGTCGATCTAGATTTTGTCATGTCAACTTTTCATTTAAAATATTTTTTCTTTAATGAAATTTTCGTTCAAAATATTAACAGATTTTTGTTTCCATGAATATTTTTAAAACATTTGTGAAAGGTCAACAATAATATTAAGACTTTTTAAGGGTCCGGGTATTTTCAAATCAAATGACAAACTTCACGAATTTTTCTTGTAATTTAATTATTTTTTTAATACTCAAAGGTTGTATATGGTTTTTAATGTTAAATTACAAATTTGGATCCTAAAGTTTTAAAAATTTCGACCAACATGAATTTAGCTTAGCGATAGAGGTCATGAGTTTGGATCCTCCCACCTCACTTATACTAAAAAAAAAATGTTACAAATTTTGATTGGTCTTTTTGTCAATCTAATTATAGTTCCGTAGATAATAATTTATTATCATCTCATTGATGGTTCTTAACTAAAAAAAAACTTTTAATATAATTATAATAATTTCGATTGGAGTAAGCTAATGTTTTTTTATCTGCCTAACTGTGTTGGTGGACTCTATTACTATTTAGGGTTAAGTAAAAATTATAAGAAAATAAGTGAATTTTTTCAAGGGAGGAAAAGATATTCAAGAGATAATTTGTAATAGAGATCAGAATTTTAAAACTGAGAAAAAAAAAAAGAAAAATCAACCACCAACACTACAGAAACCAATTTTGTAGCCATTTTATTTTTAAAAAACAAATGTTCAATAAAAATATATTTGAAGTAAATTAGTCCACTCTTGCCATTTGAGTTATTTATTTCAAAATTATATTAAATGAATTCAATGTGCAAGTGAGCTAATTTTCATTCCATCATAATTAAAATAATGGAAGACCTGATTTTAAATATTTTTTCCAAAAGCTTTATTAGATTAGGTGTTTAGCACATGGCATTATTATTGTCATTTACAGTAGAAAAATTTGAAATTATACAAAAAAAAAATAGTATAATCCAAATCAATGTGTTATATTTAAAAAAAAAAATGAAAATTTTGTGATATTTGTTAAAATACATATTAAATTTATCTTATATAAGATAATTTCTAAAAAACAAATCATACTTTAAATTAAAAGTTCTAACTGTTGAGTACATTAATTTATAAACTTAAAAAAGTTTTAATATATGTTTTATGAACTTTAAATTACGATTCTATATCAAGTTAAAATTACTTTTGTTATATTCTAAAATAATTTGTATATCGTCGTACACATGTCTTTAATATTTCACCATGATATATAAGTGATTTTAGAAAACGACAAAAATGATTTCTCCAAAACATGTCTTAATTAGATATATTTATGACAAATGTTAATTGATTTGGCATGACATGACTCGTAAATGACATTAATAAGTAGGTAACTAGTCGATATATTATTTTAAGATAAATACGTGTTATATATTTGTAAGTTACAAGGGAATTACAAAAATAGTACGAAGAATACGTATTTATATATATAACATCAGGTTTAAATCGTACAAATGACATAAATAGCAAACTTATACAATCACGTAATATCAACTAAAGCCAACATTTCTTTCTCGCCATTTCTTGCTGATGGTTTGGCCAAAAAGAGGCTTTTTCACAATTCTTCTCTATTTTGAGATCTACCACCTCTTACCTGGTTATCGTGTTTACTCGATGATGATTTTCCTCCTATCTCTACCCATGTGCTGTCTTAATACAA